TGTGTAGTGTTCGCGTAAATATAAGAAATCATTATCTAAGTATTGTTTTTTTTTTAATTTTTAACTATTTCTTAATTGTTCTACTTTTAGGATATTCGTTTCGTTTCTAATCGATATTAAAATATTTCAAATAATAATATAAAATATTTGCAATATTTCAGAAACAATTATTAAGTTCTACATTTTTCCAAGAAATTATTTTCTTTTTGCTATGAAATCTGTCGAATATTTCACAGTGACACTTTTGACAGATTTCGAAGCAAATAACCATTTCTAAGTGGCACCGCCATGGTGGCAGAAAAAGTCGTGGATCCTCTGAAGTCGTGGATCCTCCTGAAGCAAGTCCGTAGTCTCTGCCTACTCCTCTGTGTAACAGTCGTGGGAGTTTATATTTTGTTATATTATACAGTGAAAAATAGAAAAAATAAACGCGTGCAGTTCACACGCGGTCAAAGTGAAACCTTCACCTTCTTCCTTCTCTCGCAGGCTAAACCCTATAGATTTATAATGCCTAAATACGTCTCGTGTTGTCTCTATCATTTTAATAGAATCAGTCGTTACTTTGTGGAAATCCATTATATTAAAGTTGGTAAAAAATCAGTCAGTGGTGTGTCTTTCCTAGTGTTGTGGTGTTGGGAGTAGTGGTGCTGGGATTAGTGGTGACGGGGATAGTGGAGGTGCTCTTCAAACTAGGTAAGACACATCATTTTATTTTATCGAGCGGGTGTACGCGAGGTAATTCTTTTTCTATCATTTTAAGTCAATGTAACTGTGACACCACTGTGACTTAAAATTGAGTAGGGTCTTTGGCCGTATTTTTGTCTCTTTTTAGTATTAAGTACTTTTTCATTTCATCGCGTTTCAAATCACAACGATTCTAAAGAAAATTTCACTCCAAAGAGTTATTATATTGGTTGTGTAAACAGATGGAGTGGTGTTCCCATCATGAGCAGAGCAGCGCGCTCGTAGCGGGCGACGCGGCGGCGGGCCGCTACCCGTGCTGCGGACAACGCGCGTACCGCTTCGAAACTCTCCCGCGCAATACGGTAACCTAAAGCCGAATTTACATTATGAAACTGGCAGTAGTAAAGTAGCATGCATAGCACAACTCATTTATTATGAATGTAGCACGAATGGATCGGATTGGCCGGGGGTAGGACCACGTTCTCACACAATACCGGTGTAATATAGCAGCTCAATGCTGCTGTTTTGTATAGTGAGTGTTGAGAATCGAAGACCATTTTTACTGGATAGGAGGCATTCCAACTTAGTAACTACTTACTTAGTATTCGCATTTGACTTTCCATATAATAATTATTATGCTACAATTGCCCCAGGGGTGCCAGTTCCGTGAGCACGTGCCCGAAGAGCACACAGCTGGTGAGGCGGCGGCTGTTGCGCTGTACACGCGCTTCCGCGACCTCATCGCTATGCGCCCGCCTCATCTTGTGTTCCCCGAGCGACTGACGCGACTTGTTGCTAGAGGTTAGAGAATATACTTTATTATATATTTATGCTTACATATACCCGCCTCCAGAGATCAAAAGTAGGTTATGTCACATGTCGGACTTGTATCGTCTAAAATCCTACGCTGTTTCATCTTTGAGGTAACTCAGCAGCTCCTCAGATATCTCTTTCGCACACAGCCTGACCAGTGCCAGCCACCCCTTGGTGGGCCCTTTTTGGTAGAGGAGGCTCGACCGGGGAAGGACCACGCTTTCACAGAATACCAGCGTAAAATAGCAGCTTAATACTGCTGTGTTTCGTATGGTGAGTGTAGAGAACCGGAGGCCCTTTTTACTGGAAAAGAGGCATTTCATCTTAGTCCTCACGGGTGACAACGCATCTGCATTTTGATTCGCAAACGAGGATAGATGTCTATGGGCCACAGCAACCACTTACCATCAGGTGGACTGTGTGCTGTGTCACCCTATCCTATAAAAAAGGACCATTACTTGCTCTATTTCTTCTAGGAAGGAAGATAGAGTGATCAAAAATACCCCTTTTGTTTCTTGGTTCAGTAGCGAAGTTAGCTAAAGGTTGGGCTAAGACACTCTGAGGCCACGGTATTGAAAGTCACAAGGATTAAATAATTTTTCGTTTATACGTGAAATAATTGAGATATAAATACTATGTTAATTTGGAATAATATCAAATTTATGTTTGAAGTAATTTGTGTATAATGTATAATATTTTTTGAATAATATTAAATTATACAAAACTACTATTTTACAAAATTTTACAACATTTGGGCCACACGCAGGTGTGAGTAACGATCCTAGAGCAAGTCTTAGCCGACACTATTCCGATGATATTATGGACGTCGGTCTGAGCGAGATTAGAATGGCTCTCCAGCACCTTAAAAACGGCAAGTCCCTGGGCTAGAATGGAATTACAACGGAACTTCCGAAAGCGGGCGGAAAAACCACGGGTGGTACTTGAAGTGCTTCAGAAGCTATTTTATTCCGTTCTTCATGGTGGGACTACACCGGATGCGTAGAGCAGAAGTGCGGTGGTCTTGAACTTCAAGAAAGGCGACAACGCTCTCTTGAAGAATCACAGACTGATTTCCCTTCTGAGCTGCGAGCTGAGCGGTTTCAAGCTACTGGACTAGAAAGGATACAGTATAAACATCAATGGGAGTACATCACTCACCTTCGATTTGCCGACGATATAGTCCTTATGGCGGAATCGCTGGACGTGGAGCGCCTAACCGCTATGCGCAATGATCTCAATACTACCTCCCAACGACTGGGTCTTAACATGGACATAGACAAAACAAAGATCATGTGTAACGTCTATGTCAAACACCTATGCTCCCCACAACTACCGTGTGGGGAGCATAGGTGTGTGGTGTCCAACTTCGACCGAGAGGTCAATCGACGGTTTCAACTCGACTGGGCAGCGTTCGGGAAATTACGGCACATCTTCTCGTCAGGTATACCTCAAAACTTACAAACGAGATTGTACAACCAGTGCGTGTTGCCAGTGATGACTTATGTCCTTCACTGCTGGCCGTATGAGGAAGCTCAAGGTCGCTCAGCGAGCTATGGAGAAGGCTAAGCTCGGGGTACTCTGTGTGATAAATTTAGAAATGAGGATATCCGCGGTAGAACCAGAATGACATAGCCTAACGGAATAGTAAGCTGAAGTGGCAATGAGCCGGCCATATAGCGCGAAGAACCATCAACCGATAGCGAAAAAAGGTACTCGATTGGCAGCCTCGTACCGGTAGGCGGAGTGTAGAGCGACCCCCCACTAGATAGAGTGACGACCTGGTAAGACATGTAGGAAGTTGATAAATGCAGGTGGCTCAGGACCGTGCTTTGAGGCATTCTATGTTCAGCAGATGACTTGTGAAGGGATGTAATGATAATGATGATAGTGACATCTATCGGAATTTTTAAACGGATTGGACATCGTACATGTGATATGCTGTATTATTATGTAAGTACCTATGTAGAATTATATAAATCTAGCTATTTCTTTAAAACAGCATTGTAAGTTGCTTATTCTTAAAATAAGCTTTAAGCTGTTTACAAATCACTCGATAGGTACCTAATTCTTATCTATGTTTACGAAAAACGCATGCGTCATACTGTCATTAGCTATGTCTATTGTTTACATCGGTGCGTTTTCAATTTCGCTTTCGTGTTAATTTTGCGTTTCAACTTTCTGTTCGATTTGCGTCACGCGCTGTGCCATAGCGGTGTGTTGTAGTTAGGTTTGCCATCTCCTAAAATGAAAAAGCCGGACTCGGCGCTTCAAAAAGCCGGACTTTTGACCCTAAAAGCCGGACAGTAATTTTTAGAAAGACAAACATACCTTTCTGAGGCCATGCAGCCAAAAAACTCACCAACTCCAACCCCCGAGAAAAAAATTAAAATACTCCGTTTCATACGTTAATTGTTTATTAATCAATCACAGCACAGTTTCAAGTGTATACGTTACTTATTTATTTATTATGCAAGCGATGCGTGCAACGCGTTACACTAACAAAAAGCCTAACAAAAGCCAAACATGTCCGGCTAAAGCCTGACTGATGGCAACCCTAGTTGTAGTGGCTTTTTGAGTAATGAAACGAAACTATCTATCGAATAATAGCGGTTTTTGAAACACTCTATTTTAATAGCGACTTCAATAGTGTTTCACGTGTTTAATTGAAAAACGTGGCGAATGAAACGATAGCCGTTTCGTGAAACGAAAGCTTGATTAGTTTGTTTGGTGTTCCCGTTTCGATAAGATTACTGTTATCGAAATTTTAGTGTTAAGAATATTTTTATTGCAATGAAAACTCATTCATGCTTTATCCAGGTTTAGGACTGACTGGTGACGAGTTTATTAAGTAACAATTAATACTTAAGTTAAATTTTCAATAAAATAATAATACATACATACATACATACATATATATATATATATATATACAATTGTATTATCTTCTTATCTTACAACAAATATTATTATTGTTGCACAAAACAAAATTCACTATAATCGCGCCTAAAAACAAACCGTGTCATCAAACTCAGACGAATTTAGACTGGGTCAAGGCCACGCAGTTCGAAAAAATTTGTTATTTTAAAACATGCACTCTTACTTTCTCATTTGTAATATCATTTTTATCCGATGGTAATATAGTCATAGGTCAAGTGAAAAAACAATGTACGTAGATATAGGTGGGTATGAAACAGACAAACGTGTCACCCGCGTGTCACTTTCTACAAGCTTTTGATAATAGCCAAAAATAATGACACATAACACTCATTATCTAATGTTTTAACTTTGTCTTCTGCCATTTTGTTTATTAAAATGCACGAAGTTGTTGCATGTGAATTGTGAACCCACCTGTGACGGATCAGCGTTCGCTAGAGGTTTGCGCTGTTGTGGAACTAGTTTTAGCGCATGCGCTACCGCTATGGTTGCTCCTTGCTCAGCCATGCGTTAGAGGAAGACGCAAGATGAACAGGAAAAATAGCTATTGAAATTGAATGCCACAAACTAGTGTAATTGACGGCGCATTCATTGTCGCACGCCATTGATTATGTAATAAATTGAACGAAAAATGTCAGAAGATAAAGCAAAAACGTTGCAATTTATAAGAGATTATAAAAACCACCAAGTGTTATGGGATTCAAGACATAAGGACTATAATAATAAAAAGAAACGAATCGTTGCATTAACGGACCTGGGTATAAAATATAATATGAATTTAAGATTTATAAAAAACAAAATAAAAAGTTTGAGATCTTACTTTTCAAAAGAATATCAAAAAGTGGCAAGAAAAACTGAAGGAGAAAGATATCGTTCTTCTTGGTTTGCCTATAAACATCTTTTATTTTTACTCAATGCTTCACCAAAGAAGCTGAGAATTGACGAACAAGTTGAAAATAGCGACGAATCTTGCGATGATGACGGTGAGGTAAGTTACTAATGAATTTTATCGTAATTTCACATAGTATCGTGAAAATACAAAAAATATATTTTATAACATGGGTTATTATAGGAGAGTAATTACATGTTTTGTACTTACATAACTACGCAGAATATTAAATAAGGTAGGCATATGAAGGTAGGTATTTTAGGCTATGATTTTTTATTTTATAGACTGATCTTTCATAAAAAATCCATAGAATACCTACACTAATTTGCGAAACTATTATGAGCTATGTTAGAGTTAGAAGGTTCTAATGCCTTTCGATAGATGGCATTTTAACCAATTCGTTTACGTCAGGCGTAAAAAGCCCGTGTTTAACTAAGTTGACTTTCTACAATCGTTAACGCTAATTTTAAACAATAATAACCGGCGAAGTTAAGGTCGGACCCGCGCATTAAGGGTTCCGTACTATCGTAATAGACGTTTCTAGTAGGGGAACTCCTTTTAATTTTATACAGACTTCAAAAAGGAGCCGGTACTCAATTCGACTGTGTTTTTTTTGTGTGTTACCTCACAACTTCTTACTGGGTGAACCGATTTCGATGATTCTTTTTTTATTTGAAAGCTAGTGCTTTACATGTGGTCCCATATAAATTTGATCAAGGTCTGGCCAATAGCTTTTGAGTTATTCTTAATAATTTATTTTGAATTCGGTTGTACACAATTTTTAATTTTAATATATTAATTTATTTTATTATTTCTTGTTAATCAGAAATGCACATTCTGTGAATTTCAACTGTCTATCTATTACGGATTACGAGAATCAGCCCGCTGACAAACAGACGGACGGACGGACAGCGGAGGCTTAGTAATAGGGTCCCGTTAGATATCCTTTGGGTACGGAACGCTAAAAATGGATTGAATGAGGCCTCCAGACATCGCTAGTTGGGACAGAGGTGTACTTATTTGTTACGCAGATGGTCATACAGTGTCATAATTAAAAAGTTGCGATTTAATTATAAATTTTTCGATTTCCAGCGTATGTATATACATAAAACAATGCCTCGTGCTGTATTCTTTTATTTTTTGAAATCTCTTAAATATTTCATTCACTTCTTTCCTAAGTGGCCTCAGTGCATGGACGTCAAGTACGTCTCTGCCTCAGTGGCAGAAGAAGACGTGGATGCTCTTATTGACATTCCCACGTGACTTAACGTTGAAAAACGTGATTTAACGTTGATTACATTCATTTTCGTAGTTTTCTATTAGCGTCAACAATTGTAGAATATTAGCTAAGACGGCACCAGCAACGGGAAGCGAGTGTCAAAGATATGAAACATATGGTAGGTACTGGGATCATCAATCCATCTGCTAAATATGATAATTAAGGCAATTCCTCCGTACAGAGGCCATATTAGAGGCCCATGTCGCCATGTCCAGGAGCGGACTTATATGGGAAGAGGAATAAGAAACAAGTATATTATTTTTCTATAAAATGCCGTAAAGAAGCAGATAAGTAATAGTAGGTCGGAGAAAAAGTTTCTTCGTATTTTGTTTTTATAAAATTGAAGAAAAATCTCTTTGGTTGTACTGTTTGTATTTGGCTGGTTTTTAGTATCAATATAGGGGATTAAGAAAAATAAAAAGTAAAAAACACTTTCCCGCCATTTTTCAATTCCTGCCCATCAAAAGGAGTGGAATCTAACGAAGAAATTCAATACATTCTGAAGTTTTATTTAGTTTTATTACAAGAAAGGTAAAAATGCCACTCAAGCCGTGAAAAAAAAAAATTTGTGACGTTTATGATAGGTCCATGCAGTGTAAGTAACAGTAGCACTAAGTTAGTTCAAGCCAGTGGCGTAGCGTGCCCGAATCAAGAGTGGAAGATTTTTCACAAAAGGAACAAATACGCTCGCATTGAATTAAATAATTATATATTGGTTATAAGTTATTACTTATAATTAATACTCCTAGGAAATAAACTAGCCAAACAATTCAAATCAAATATATACTATTTTACAAATATACAATTTATTACATTATATCATTCATAGCTGAAGACGATTACAGTTTTTCTAAATTTTCTGCCTCAATACACAATTGTGACAAGTCTGATAGCCTTTCCTGCGTCCTTAGAATTTTCTCTTATACACGTTCGGGGCCCTGTAGCTTGGGGGCCCCGTATCATTGATACGGCTGATACGGCGGTAGCTACGCCCCTGGTTCAAGCGTTTTCAGTCCGGGAATTTTGATGGCAAAGATGCAGGTCGCTCTTTTCGCCCTCATACGGATAAAGTCGATGCCATTTTTTAAAAAGTGGAGCCAGATCGGCATATTAGTAGTTACGACATACCCGATGAATTGAGGTTTGGTTGATTGATTTTTTTAACAAAAAAAAAACATTGAGGATTGACCACAAAACAGTTTTGACCCATTTGAAAAAGTCCGGCTATACAAAAAAGCTCGATATTTGGGTATCACACGAGCTAACTGATAGAAACCTAATGAATCGTGAACTCATTTGCGATTTTCTATTGAAATGTAACGAAACCGAACCATTTTCCAAAAGATTGATCACTGGTGATGAAAAGTGGATCACCTACGACAAGAACGTACGAAAAAGATCATGGTCAAAGAGTAGTCAAGCTCCAATGACTGTAGCGAATCCCGGATTAACACGCAATAATGTTATGCTGTATGTATGGTGGGATTGGAAGGGCATCGTTTATTTAGCTTTTACCACCGAGCAAAATCATCGATTCGGATCTCTACTGCCAACAACTAATGAGACTAAAGAAAGAAAAAAGGCCAGAATTGATCAACAGAAAAGGAGTGGTCTTTCATCATGATTACGCCAGACCTCACACATCTTTGGCTCACTCAGCAAAAATTGAGAGAGCTTGGTTGGGAAGTGATAATGCATTCACCATATAGTCCTGACCTTGCATCCTCACATTTTCACCTGTTTCGGTCTTTTCAGAATTCTTTGGGTAGTGTTAGATTCACATCAAGAGAGCACTGTCAAAACTACTTACTTGTCGCATTTTTTTGGTCAAAAATCCCCAGATTTCTACAGGAACGGTATTTACGGATTATGTCACTACCTACAAGATGGCAACAAGTTATTGAACAAAATGGCATATTTAAATTATAATTAAATGTAATTAAACTTTGAAAAAAAAATGTGTTGAATTTGTATATAGGTAAAATACGAAGAAACTTTTTCCCCATCCTATCGTATATTTTATTATACGTAGGTAATCTATTTTGACAATTGTTTTCCAATGCATAGCCAGTTATTACACGCACCATTTATATATATATAATTTTAATCTAAATTATGTATTAAACAGCATTAGAAATGAAGATATCTGCAATAGAACCAGGGTAATCGATATAGCCCAACGAATCAGTAGGTAAGCTGAAGTGCAATGGGCCGGGCATATTTATTTAATTATTAATTTTTTGCATTCCCTGTTACAAAAGAATACAAAGAGAGGAGTTAATGCCATGAGGCATTCTCTACCAGTCAATATATGGAGTGGTGAGAGACACCTGGCATATGGCTCGTAGATGCGGAAGAAAAACTATTGATATCGTATGGCAGTCTCGTGCCGGTAAGCGAAGTGGAGCGGCCAACCGCTAGATCGTCACGACCTAATAAGGCATTTTGAAAGTCTTTGTCTGAGTCAAAAAACAGGCACGTGCATCCAGTGCATTTTGAAAGTCGATGGATGCACGTGGTTCAGGAGCTTGTTTTGTGATTCAGGAGCGTGTTTTATTACTTGTGAAGGGCTGTAATGATGATGAATATATATATATAAACTAATTAAATATAGAAGAGCTTAAAAATTGCTTGAGCATTCAAAATTTTCGACGATGTTTTACAGGAGTTGGAAACGGAGGTAGTACTCGACGAGGATAAATTAAATAGCATTTTACAACCTGTTACAAACAGTGAAACGATTCATCAAGCGCGTCATGAACTACGCGATAACGAGGCGTTTAACTTATACAAGCCACTTGGCGACTCGTATAAAGACGAATACGGCTTGTTCGGTGAATTTATCGCCCATAAGCTTCGAAAGCTTCGCCCGCGTAACAGAATATTAGCACAGCAGCGTATAAGTGATGTACTCTTCACATTAGAAATGGAAGAAGTAAATGAAGAGGTTATCGATGAGGATGATGTACTTTCAAATTCGTCAAAACAAAAGGATGGTAGCGAAATAGAAGTCAAGGTGTCACTTAGTTCGCCATTTCAAAATGATATCGCTACTCAACCGAAAAGCCCAACGTATGAAAATTAAAGATGTTGTATGTATGAGTTGAGTCTTTTATTTATCAAACATAAATAAATTTGTTGAAATAAATAAACGTGTGTATATTTTTTAACCGAATACAAAAAAAGAGGTTTTATAATCGACGCATATATTTTATATGTAGCGTACCTACACTACATATAAAACATCTTCACTGATTTCTCGTAAACAACTGAACCGATTTAAATTTTATATACGTGGTAGAGCCATGCTGCAGCTATATTAGTAGTATAGTTGTAGCATGAATAGGTCGGTTCGACCGCGGAAGGACCACGCTCTCACAGAATACCAGCGTGAAATGGCAGCTTGACACTGCTGTGTTTCGTATGGTGAGTGTAGAGAACCGGAGACCCATTTTACTGGAAAACAGGCATTCCATCTTAGTCCTCACGGGTGACGACGCATCTGCATTTTGATTCTTTATTGAGGATAAATGTAGATGTCTATGGTCCACAGCAACCAATTACCATCAGGTGGACTGTGTGCTCGCTTGTCATCCTATCCTATAAAAAAAAACTGTGTAAAGGCCCTCACCTTTGCTTAGGTAAATACCTCAAGACTAAGCCCCTGAGCTTGGGGGAAAAGGGGAGGAAGGTTATTTCTGTAAATATTAAAGTTTAAGATCACATTCTAGCCTTAAGTTAAACTGGTCTACTCAAAAGATTATTAAAAGTAATAATTGACTTTTTTTTTCTTCCATTTCTTGGCCTGCACGGTTTGTGCGTCAGCCATGTCTTCAGTTTTTCAATGTATAATTATCCTTCATAGTACAAATGATGTATAATTATCATTCACAGTACAGTGCTTCACAATATGCGTCACATTGTGAAGTCCTTGGGAGATTTTGACAGCAACTTGTGTCAGCAGACAGTTGGCAATGGTATCTCAAGGCGCCTAAGCAGACAACCTTATATTGAGAATCACATCACCGTTAGAGCACTTGTTTCCCCGTTTCCACTAATAGTTCACATGCGCAGACACTTAATACACAAACTCGCACCACTTTTACATATCAAAGTCCACTTCAAACCATTATTTAAACAATAATACAGGAGCAGCAAACCGCCGCCGGTCACGTTCCCGCCAAAAACTCAACAATTGACTTTAAAAACTAAAAAGATTAAATACGTCCATTACCAAATAATAGCTTCTGAAGTCGGAGATACGGCATAGTGTATCGGAGAATTAATGGCCCCTGACTTTTTAAGCTAAAGTGTATAAATTATTTTATTTTTTGACATATTTTACGGATGGTTCTTCATGGTTCCTGCTGATGATTAAGGCTTGACGGCTTAGTGACGACATAAAACCTGTGTCCAACTGTGGACTTAAAAAACAGATTAATATAATTTTTATGAAAAAATCCCATCATCGTTGACAGAGCCAGGAGAAGACAGCAGTGGCCGCTTGCAGTGCAAAGAAGTATTCTGGTGGGAAGGCATTCAATTAGTGCCACCACGTCAGCCCCTCGGCTTGCTTGGGAAGCTTTATACAAGCAACAACAAATTCAACCGTGAGATTTCTTTATAATTTAGCTCATAGTTCGCTGCGATGACGTGCTAGCTTTATCAATAACCCTTTCTTTATTTAAGCTATTAAATTTGAAAATTACAAAAATTATCATAAAACGCCGTCGAGTCTATGTTTAAAAAAAGTTTCGTATTCCAATAAAATAATATTAATAATTTTAATAAATTTAGGATCATGAGATTTTAGAAGACACTGTATTATTATTTATTACGTAGTAGGTAGTCTGAGGAATTGTTCGGATTAATTCCAGCCGCCAAATTTCACGAACGCACATCGCATCAAAATTCACGATACCATCCTCATCATCTGGTTGCTTGGCGGTCCACCACTGTGCGTTTTACTAGGAGTTTTCTTCCTCCTACAACTTCCTTGTGGAATTGTTTACCACCGGCGATTTTTCCGAACAGATACGACTTAGGCACCTTCAAGAAAAGAGCTTAATCCTTTCTAAAAGGTCGGCAACGCACCTGCAATTCCCCTGGTGTTGCGGTTGTTCATGGGCGGCGGTAGTCACTTACCATCAGGTGAGCCGCATACTCGTTTGCCCCCTCTTGTATAAAAAAATAAATAATGTATATATCCTTCTAATCTATCATGGATATGAGACAAAAATAACTACTTACGAATCAGTAAAAAAGTGACTTTATGCGTTGTCTACTATTGGACAAGGTAGGTCTGAACTCTGTTGTGGAGATATTACACTAAAGTTCTGAATACGGCAACAATATCAATCGTATTAATTATTATATTTGAATTCGTATTATTTGATCCCAACTGAAATAAATAAAAACTTCAAAGGTTCAGCTAACGATAAAGTCATTACATTATCGTAAGCTGAACTTTTCGAAGCTCCCATGTATCTGTGTCTGATGGATGAAATTAATACACTGTCCACCGAAATACATTTTATAAAAAAAAGTAATTTAAAAAAAAATCTTGTTCAATAATACTCTGTATTTTACTCATAATCAATCGGATTTTTATCATAAAAGAATATTTGCGTTACAAGTATTTGCTAGCACGTCATCGCTTCTTACATTAGTCACGGCAATACCGCTGTAAAATACACTCTCCGCATCGGCAATCCATGTAGAGCCATGTCAACAACGCTTACGTTTTAAATGTTAGTGCTGGCTTTACAACAATTCATAGATGCAGGCGGGCTTTACTTCGACTCCCATGAAAAAGGAAATTAAGTAAGTATGTAACACGTGGCTGAGGTCAAATGCTGATAGAATGAAAATTAGACTAGCAACGAATAGTATATTCGGCCATATGCCAATTAGCGAAAATTCTGCGGGCTTCCTGACCATATAGCCGAATATTAGGCAAAATTATTCGATCGAGAAGATTGACGAATAACAGTCTCGTAATGGCAAACTAAATGAGTCGATGGAGGCAGGTGTCTCAGGACCGTGCTTTGAAACTAGCTTATATACATCAATTGATTCGTGTTGGGCGACAATAATGAAGAGTCGTCTGCAATTTATTTGGAAGAGTTAACAGGAATTTAAAAATTAAAAATTATTACTTACAAGTGGCCAGTTACATTATTAATTTATTTTTAATTACTACGCTAGTGTTAGAGCTAGCGTACTATAATCCCATCGGGTAACGAAGCCTTAGATCAGACTATCCTAACGCAATAAAGCCTACCTATTTACTTTTGCCTTGAACACATCCACTTTGTAATCAGACGGAAAGTTAGACGCTGGTCAAATATTTCAGACCTTTGCTGCATGTAAGCATTAGGAAAGACGAAGCAAACCGTTTTGTTCGAATGCGTAGGATGTGAAGAAAAAAGGGGGAAGACACACATCGTCTGGTTGTGCGAAGGTGGAAAGTGAATTAATGATCTTATAAACAACCCGTTGCTATTGCTAGACAATTGCCGTAAACCCCAAGCAAAGAGCCTTTTCGCCGTTCTCTACATAATATGATGGGTACAGGAAACTCAATATAACCATATATAGTATAACTAAGAACCTTACATTACAATGAACATGAAACGAAATAGATACAATAAAAAAAAAACAAATAAGTCTAAAGACGATTAAGCCACTATAGTTATTTTGTTTTATAGTAACATTCCTATTCGGTATCTGTCACCTTAGTTGAAATAAGCTAGGAGGACGTCATCATGAAATAGGGTGATGAAATTTTTTGTCACCTCCGCACTTTTTGTATCACCATGGAAAACAATTTGGCGCCCATGTAGCAAGTGCTCGTCCCGGTTCGCCCGCTCCTGGAATTCTTCAACCAGCGCAGGTCTCCGGTACCTGTTCTACTGGAACGTGTCCCTCGCCAGAGCGTCGTGAATTGAAGCAAACAAAAAATGTTCCAGTAAACGAGGGTAGCCCAAAGAACAAGGTAAGTATAGTGAAAACGTCGTCTAAGATTGGAAGTTCTATTTTTAAAATAAGGCATAATTAATATGTTTCTCGGCATTGGGCATAGAGTTTACGGTACGTTATAATGTGCTTAGTACACAGATATTAAAATTTAAAATTACTGTGGCTTTATAGGTAGACTTTAGACTTTATAAGTAGACTGCGTAGGTACTTTGGCGTACCTTAAGCAATGGATAGTGTAGTATATCTGCGCTAGTACCTATTTCTTATTAGTTTGTGAGTATATCATAGAATTTACCACATACATAATATTTAGATTAGCGTTGGAATTTACCGTAAAACCATAGACAAAAAACGCACTCTAAATATTGTTTCTATTCTCTATTTGTTGCATCGTTGTTTACAAATTTCATTACAACAATATGTATGAGAACAAAATTAGTTTCTTAAGGTTAGCTTTATTTATCAATCAATGTTTTCTAAAACTACACCATAGTTGTACCTTTAGAGTATACATAAGTTAGCTTGCTTATCTATACTCTAAAGTTATACCATTACCTGTTAGAAAGTAGAACGTATTACTAGTAATTAATATAATACACCTGTGATAAGTGTATACTTAATGTTGGTAGTGGTAGGTATAGGTTATATTATAATAATAGATCGATGTATTTTAGATAATTTTAGACTTAGACGTAGATTAGTTATTAGAAATATTTATTATAAGTAGCCGGAAAAATGGGTGAACATAATAATAGTCAACTTGGAACTAGGAGTTAATAACATCTGATGATATTTACTCCGTTACCGTTGTTGCAACCTATTATTAAAAATAATGAATAAATTCTCACAGATTATAATGACTAAATTCACGTAAGTACCTAAATTGTAGTGGTAGCTCAAAGGCTAAAAGGTATCTAATGCTTGAGATAAGATTTACAATACGCCAGCAACCTGAGTTCGATCCTCGCCAGTACAAATGAAATTGTTGGTTGCAATTTTAAGTGTCATTTTACAACAGGCTTGGCGGTGAAGGAAATCAGTAAAAAAACGTGTATAAATGAACAATAAAATATGAAAAGGACATATTATGAAGACATCCAAGATGTTCTGTTCCATGTGTGCAGACAGTAGGACGTATTTAGCCTGAAACTTATATTACTACACAAGTACCTAAAGCGTCAGTGGAAAAAACCTTAGTGCTATTCATTCATTACAGTCTATCAAAGTTCACTGCTGAACATAGGCCTTCCTATAGATTGCTTCATATGGGAGATATTTGTCATAGTTGCCATGCTTGGCAATCTTCTTGGCAACCGAAGTTTTTTATTTTCTAGTTGCTATTAGGAAGATGCTGATGCCCATTATTTGGATGTAGGGTTTAATATTATTAGTATTTTCTATTTTATTTTCTTTACGTGGTAGAGCCATGCTGCAGCTATATTAGTAGTATAGTTGTAGCACGAATGGGTCGGCTCGATCGGGGAAGGACCAAGCTCTCACAGAATACCACCGTAAAATAGCAGCTTAACGCTGTTGTGTTTCGTATGGTGAGTGTAGAAGACCGGAGACCCGTTTTACTGGAAATGAGGCATTCCATCTTAGTCCTCACGGGCGACAACGCATCTGCATTTTGATTTGTAATAGAGGATAGATTTAGATGTCCATGGGCCGCAGCAACCACTTACCATCAGGTGGACCATAGATTACTGTACATAAGGTGGACTGTGTACTCGTTTGTCACCCTTATCCTATAAAAAAAATATAAAAGGCAGTTAGTACTTCTATCGGTTTTGATAAAATTTTGTAATTTGGGTAATTTCTACATCCAGAAATTGACCGCTTGGTGGCAATGTCCAAGTTTAGATACTATTGCCTCTATTGTAGTGGCTTTAGCCACTTAGTTTAAAAATAAAAACTATAAGTAGTTTTTACGAAAATATTTAAAATTAAAATTATTGATTGAAAATAAACGACGAGTAAAGCGATTCATATTACTACATATTAATACATTCATTCAGAAAATATTGGTCTACGGATAAATTAGCCTTTTCGGAGTAATTTAATATTAACAAAACTGGGTTTGTGAAGTAAACTTTCAAAAAAGTTTTATATCCATTCTCAAAGTTTTCTTGTCGTACGAAGCAAGGCGCGTCAGGGTGTGGAGACGGTACGGCCGCGCCAGAGCGAGACAGCGAAGGTGATAGTGAACAGAGCTCTGACAGTTCTGACAGCAGTGACAGCGCGCGAAGTGATGAAGACTCCGCACCGCGCCGCCGAGTGCAGAGAGTGGCGCCACCGCCGCCATCAAGAACCAAGTAAGTTAAAGATACAGCCTATATACGTCCCACAGCTGGGCACAGGCTTCCTCTCATCACTGAGAGGTTTTAGGGCAAGTAAGATAATAACTATATTAATTTTTTTTGCGCCCAAATACAATTAAAAAGGGCTACCCTCCAGAAAGCGAGGAAGGGAGGTGGTGATTGGTCTAAGCATACCACGACAGCCGGCTGTCGTGATTATGTGGGACTCACTGCGACTAACCTAACCTAAGTGCCTACCCACTAAACACCACCTGTGAGACTGGCATTGGCTTTTTAGGCCTTTCTGCCGAATCGGAAGCGAGCCTCTTTAGGGAAAAGGGGGCGCAGACTTCATTAATCGAAGACGATGGAATGTATACTACTGGACCGCCAATTAAGAACAAACGGGCGCACAGGCCGACTGGGCGGAGGTGGCCCGGCACTTATACCACGCAGTTATATTTTCATTTACGACAGCTTTAATGTCTTTAGGCAAATATGTTATAAAGTTATAATACCACTTATCGAAAATAAACTTTAAATAACATTGACAAACACTCGTGTGTTTTACGTGAATATGTGTAGGTACCGAAGCGACCTCAAAATGGCTCACACCTCCGCCGCGCCACAGTCCTCAATCAACGTAACGAATTCTTTAGGCCTTAACTATCGAGTGGTGTAATTAATCATTGGATATAAATGATAGATATGTAGCTGCAAGATGAAACTGTATCCCCGTATTTGTTATCATCAGTTTTCGTTTTGCCTGCCACTATGGAAACAGACGTATTCACGTTAATAAAGGAGGAGCCGAGTTGTCGGTCGTCAGTGGATAGCGTCTCTGTCAGCGCGAAGCAACCAGGACGGGCAGCGTCGCTTTGAAGAGCGCGCCGCCGCGCAGATGCGAGCGGCTCTAGCACGCCGCCATGCTCCTCAAGTTCGTGTGAAGCCTACACCTGGTGAGTAAAACAGTTAAGAGGGTGTTAGGGCAAGGAAATGTTCGCCGCGCTGCCCCAATGCGTATTGGCGAACTTCACATGCCTTTGTAATATATTGTTTTCTTTCTTATTTCTCAAACATGCAGGTTTCCTCACGATGCGTTCCTTCACCGCCAAGCAGGTGATAAATCAGCAGTAAACAATTTCATTAAACCCGGGTTGAATAAAACATTGCACCTAGTGAAACCAGAGAGGGACTACGCTCTGACAAAATATCAGGGTAAAATAGTTGCTGTGTTTCCTATGGTAGTACTATTATTTATTCTGTGCTTATAGTGAGTGACAAGAACCAGACCCATTTTTTTTAAATTAGGTACCTATTCAATCTTAGATTTTAGAGGTGACTACGCAATATGTTATTAAAATCATTGAGAATGTAGGTATCGAATACATAATACATCTTCTACTTATCTTATTTATCAGGTGGACTGTGTCCTCACGAACTTCCATAAAAACGCACGTTAAACGTATACATTGTCATATATACGTTTTTACCGGTTTTCGACTTCCGCGACCACTTTTAAATACTCTTGCTACGAAGAATACAATATAGCCTCAAGTGTATTTCTAAACTGATCCACGTAGATACTATCCGATGTAACCGCTTGTCAATAAGATCGCAGACAGTCTCGAATTCATTGTTACAGACTCGGAAACAATCACAAGGCATCAGAAACCATCAGATGAGAAAACCAATTTGTGTTTGCAATAATATTGAGTCAATTGTGATATCTAGCCAAATCTTTATGGATCCCAACAGGGTAGTAGGTTATTTGTACAATACTGCTTACAGGATTACAACCTGCGCCGATACCTCGTGTGTCCTAACTATGCATGCGCAATAAAGCAAATCGAACCAAAAGATAACCTGAGTATCATTTGTTGTTACTACTGATGATTAACATGAAATGGCTTGTTATCAGTAAAAACGGTCTCCGGATCTCTACATCCGGCTCGTGGGACCAAAAAACTTATATGTTTTTAATTAAAATTAGTGTGCTGCATGTTGTGGTAGTTGCATTGTACTCTGTGGTATCGCCGTAAGAGAATCTATAAATTCATTTCGGCCCATGAATATCGAAAGAAGCGATAATGGGAAACACCAAAAAATGTTATGGCTTCCAATGTATGGCGGTAGACCATCTTATTTACACCAGACGAACAATTCCCAGACCAGCGACGGGCAGCCGCATCAAGTACTTACATCTGGTATTGCGATCGTCACCTGCCAAGCATGACGAATATACGCATAATGCTTTCTACAGACCCTTGGAGAGACCTTTGTCTATACTTTTGTGTTGTTGTTTGCCAGATGTGGAATCTTTAAAAACTACTACGGTTTTATAGCTGGCTGTGCTGATATTCTTTTTCTTTTATTGTTGTGCGTTGTAGGGGGAGTTTACGCGCGCTTAGAAGCAGAATGGCGCGAAAAGTACGCACCCCGTTCCCGCAATACAGTTTCGGCACGTGCGCGTCCGGCGGCGGCAAAGTATAAACAATGAACCTAGCCGATGTTATATATATACCTTAATGAATACATGCGTGTTAAAAATATCTAACGTTGTTTTTTTTATTAATATGAGACATAGAAGGAAATCTATGTCTCATATTAATCTCAAAAATTCGTATGAGTAATAATTATCCAATCAATGAACGGAGAATGTGTAGCGTTCTCGACCTTATGTAACAGAGTTCAACGTTAACATCTGGTATTAATTTGCTCTGGTGTGTGTAACACATGATGCAATGTTAAAAATTCTACACCGCAAAATCAATTGTTTTAATTTAACTTAATTACTAAAAGCAAACAACGTGTACTGAAATGTAATGAGACCAAATTGTCTCATTTTGTAAAGATGTTTGGGGGGGGGGGGAGGAAACGTTATCGCCCAAAACAATATTTCAAAAAGGAAATGTAGACAATTGCGTCCAAGACTTAAAACTCTTTATATCGCACGATAAGTACGGCGATATAGAGCGAGCGGTATGATACAGATAGCATTTTTGAAAATACCTACTCTGGCCACGTATCGGCACTTCTCAAAGTATTTTTTTCTGACTCACATGATATATTATGACAAACTGACCGTGTAAGAATAATAATCATTACTCTCGTCCCGTGGGTGTCGTAAGAGGCGACAGAAGGTAGACAAATCAGATGGGCAGCAGTGTCTTGCTAATAACTACGATTGTCATTCCGCCTGTCAAGCTGGCAACTATGGCAATGGACCTTTGATATGCTGTATGGGATATTTTATACTGACTAGTGCATTTTAAAGATCGCCAAAGAAGTGTGATACTATAGGCCAGTGCTTACAAAGTAATCTGATGGTAAAACAGTTGCTGGCAAATTATTTCACTATAGCTGGATTACGAAAGGTAGAAGCAATTTAGTTGGTGTATTAAACAACAATGAGGAGGAAGCTGGCCTGGTTCTCTGATAGTGAAATGGGTGTTTTTAAGAGGCGACAGAGAAAACTGGAATATGAGATGGGCAGCAGCATATTTCTGATTATTTTTTTACGTGGTAAAGCCATGCTGCAGCTATATTAGTAGTGAAGTTGTAGCACGAATGAAGCTTCGTTCAGATCTACCAGCACGTAACGTGGCAGACACCGCACAGACAACAGTTTTCACATCTCACGCACCCGGCATGAACAGTCATCATAGGTAAAGTTTAAAGTGAAGTGCTTACAAATTTTTCATAAATAAAATCCTTCTTACATGGAACTGAAGTTTTTCTGCCTGTTTTTTCCATGCGTTTTTTTGGTTGTCACTGTACCTGCGATCACACATATCATACCAAAATGTATATTAGACACTCGCAGACACGCACCAGGACAGACAAAACATTCTTGTTGAGAATGCTGGCCAGTGCCGGCCCGTGTTTGCCGCGGACACACTCCGCTTGCGTGCGCTAGATGTGAATATATCTGCCAAGCCACGTCTGGCACGCTCAATGTCTGTAGATCTAAACGAAGCTTGAGTCGGCTCGACCGGGAAAGGACCACGCTCTCACAGAATACCAGCGTTAAATAACAGCTTAACACTAATATTTCATATGGTGAGTGTAGAAAACCGGAGACCCTTTTTACTGGAAAAGAGGCATTCCATCTTAGTCCTCACGGGTGACAACGCATCTGCATTTTCATTTGTAATAGAGGATAAATATAGATGTCTATGGCCCACAGCAACCACTTACCATCAGGTGCACTGTGTGCTTGTTTGTCACCCTTATTCTATAAAAAAAAATTAAAAGCCATAAAAAACTGCGGTTGCTAATCTGTCTGCCACACGTGGCAACTATTGCACATATGAAGCAATCTACGGAGGCTTTTCCAATCTAGCAATCTAGGGAGTGAGTGGAATTTGATGCTGTAATGACGACGATAATGTGAACATGTAAGAAATAAAATAGAACACATTTTGTCAAGATTTATTGATGCTTAAAACTAGAAGCGCATTCTGTGCGGGAATTGGCTGGAGCGGAGGCCGAACGTCGACTTGAGGTAGCCGCGAAGCACCTTCTTGTCGTCGCGCTGACCGATTGCCTTGATCACCGCCTCGTCGACTGTCTTCTGGTCAGTTTTGCGCTGCTCGGATGGAACGTATTTCTGAAAGAGACAAGTTATTAATATATATCATTATTTTCTATTGGGATTGTACCCATAATTCTCGCCACACTGCCAAAGGTTAGCTGCTAGAGAAAACCTTTTCGGTCTTAAATTAGCCTTTGTACCAAATTGTTTTCAGTGCAATAGAGAATTTTCTATCTGTCTTATTATGAACCTTATACTATTCAAAAATAACAGAAAGGACATGCATAATAGAAAGATCCATCAAAAATGTTGGACAGGATTTTCAGAATTATTTTTACGGATCAGATGTAAGCAGCATGCATACAAGTGAAAACATAATTCATTTAATAACCTATCAAGTCCTGTTGAACATAGGCCCTCCCCCATAGGATATTTGCTATAATCACCATGCTTGGCAGGCAAATTACCTACCAGTTTTTTATTATTCCAAGTTGTTATTAGGAAGATGCCGCTGCCCATCCTCCTGTTTTATGACCCTCTGTCGTCTATGACGACACCCAAATAATATGGGGTAGGCGATTTTCAGACGACGCCACTACACGGCTATCGTATGATTACATAGAGCTTATATCTATCCGTACACCAAGGAGTTAGTTTGTTTTGGTACAACTATTTCTGTCACCAAATAGCAGTGCTTTAACCACTGTGTTCCAGTTTGCAGGGTATAGAACCAGTATAATTTCTAGCCTGTGAGGAATACCACTGTAGTCCTTAGAAGTGGTAATGCATCTGTAGCCTTGTTTGTTTGAAGTTGGCCACAGGTATTAAGTTCAATTGTTTTATTGAAAAAATAAACTATATATAATATACAAAGAAATAAATGAATGCTACTTTAGCACATTAATTATTTTTATATGTGGTAGAGCCATGCTGCAGCTATATTAGTAGTATAGTTGTAGCATGAATGGGTCAGCTCAACTGGGGATGGACCACACTCTCACAGAATACCAGCGTAAAATAGCAGCTTGACATTTCTGTTTCGTATGGTAAATGTAGAGAACTGGAGACTCATTTTACTGGTAAAGAGACATTCTATCTTAGCATTTTCAGTATTTATTGAAGATAAATGTAGATGTCTATGGGTCACAGCAACCACTTACCATCAGGTGGACTGTGTGCTCGTTTGTCACCCTTCCCTACAAAAAAAAAATAACCACAATAATATGATACAGGGCCTAATATATTAATTTGTACCTCTTTTTTGCTAGCAAAAATGTCCTCGCCCTGTTTGCGTTTTACGCTGCGCTTGGTACTTTTCTTGTTCTTCTTGAAGTAGTCATCATTCAAGTGCTTAGGCAGCTTGAAGTCACCAAGATCCACCTTGGTTGACGTGCCAATAACATAGCGCTGGGAAATGCGGCGTAGAGGACACGAATTAAACTGAAATTAAATATTAAAAAATTTAATAACAAAATACAGTGTGTTCACCAGTGGCAGAATTAGGATTTTATTTGCCAATATTAGAAAAGTATAAACTTAGGGCAGGAAATTAAATATAATATCAGACTTTTACACGATGCACCACCAGGTAAAAATTTGTTTTGATAGAGGGTGTAGAGGTTCAGGGCAACAAGTTCAGCATCTAGCAACCTGCGACAGGGCTACTAAAAATAATTGAGCATGAAATATTAAAAACGGATGTTCATATTCACCCATTTAAAATTCAAATTGTGCAATCACTTATAACAATTTGATCACTATTTGCATGGAAACATCTGCATGGCAATGGTTATCGAGATTTCAAACAATTTGGAGCGAAGCCCACTTTCATTTAAATGGATGTAAATAAGTAGAATTGCCAATATTGCAATCCACGTTCAAAACTCCAACAGCAAATTCACAGTCTCAAAGTCACAATTTGGAGTATATTACCAAGCAGAGATATAAACAGACCCTATTTTTTCCAAAATTTTCAAGGGGATGCATTTACTGTGGACTGTGTTGTTTATTGACACATGCTCAACTATTATTTTCTACTAACATTGAGCGCACATTCTGTCTTCAGTTTGCATAAGCTCTAATTCAGGTTTAAGCAAGATGGCACCATGACATGAGGTAAGACCATAACACTTCTACTTTCTTCCCCAAGGTCTCCAGTGCCCATGGATTTTTTTTGTGTGGGGGTACTGTAAGAGTACAGTTTAATAAACAAATCCAGTAAGAGCACCAAAGTAAAATATTGTTTGTAGAGTTGATGATATCCCTGACTTCAGTATATTGAGCAATTTGCTGAAGTTGCTTGGTATGAAATAAGATTCCAAGAATGTGTCCAATGTGATGGTTAACCTTTGTACAAAGTAATTTTTATAACATAGAATACGCCATTCTCTCTTGTTTAACATGTGATTTGTAGTTTTATTGTTATTTAAATTTGAAATCCTTTTGTAGTCTTCATATTACTAGAATAGTTTAAAATAAATAATGGATAATTATAAATAGATATTGTTATAAATAACCTTGGAGCAGTCATTCTATTCTTAGAGCAGTAATTTTATCAGTGTGATGTTCGTTGTGATAATTATTTTAGTACAAGAAGATTATTTTGCCAATAGGCTGTCCTATATCAAATCCTAATAGACAATGTTGCTTTTAGTTTATTTATACCATTTACTTTGCTATATCTTGTATTTACTCCCAACTGTTTAATGTGTTCTATAAATGATTTGTAACATAGTTTAGTTACTAACAAATATTCTTTTACTTAATAATTATGAGAGTAATTTCAAACAATATATTTCTCTGTAGTACTTCAATGCTATATTTATATGTTTATATCATCAAAACTATTGAGACATAATATATATTTACAAAATTTACATAACATTTAGATAAAATAATATGTACCCTTTGTTTTTATTTATATTAGTAACTATTTATTAATTATTAAACTATAAATTGTCTGTAAAAAACTAATCTTTCATGAAATTTCTTCAAATGTAACCTTACAA